ACACACTCTCCCTACCCAGACTCATTCGTGACATTTTCGTAGACTAAAGGGATAGAGCATCCAGTGTCAATGCCTGGCATGTCACAAGTACTCAAAAATGTTTTGACGTGTACGTACTTGAATAAACCTCTTCATCTTCGTTAATGTGATACAGACAAGCCTCAAATTTGAATCTGTGACCCTGTTACGAGGTTCCTGTGGGCAGAAGCAGCATGTCAGCATCTTGAACCTCATCCTATCGCTTACATTCCTCAGCCTAGCACATGCTCAGCCAAATGAGACACTTTTAAATAAACATTTAAGGAATGAATGAACATAGTCTTACTTTGCTGACTTCATAATTCCCAACTGTGCAAGCATACCAAGGATTGATTATCAGTCTAGAATAAACTGCCAGAGAGCCCAGGCTCCTTCCCTTCCTTGCAGAAGTGGCTCTCAGGTCTCCCTCTTTTTCACAGTAAGAACTGCAGGGCTTTCCAGCTGCAAATCCAGATTCAGAATCAGAGTGATCTTCTTGCTTGAGTTTTCAACACCCCATGCCTCTCTGCTCAGCAGCTACCTGGTCCCACAGAGACTCAGCTCTGCTAGTATCTTCTTCTTCTTCTTTTTAAGATTTTATTTATTCGACAGAGAGAGACACAGCGAGAGAGGGAACACAAGCAGGGGGAGGGGGAGAGGGAGAAGCAGGCTTCCCGCTGAGCAGGGAGCCTGATGCGGGGCTCGATCTCAGGACCCTGGGATCATGAACTGAGCCAAAGGCAGATGCTTAACGACTGAGCCACCCAGGTGCCCCTCTGCCAGTATCTTCTGACCATGCTCTTAACCACATGTCAAGGACCATGCCAGGCACCAGAGGGTTATTGCCATTGAAGGTGAAAAGCTAGGACCACAGGGACAAACTATTCTGAATGAAAAGGATACCAAGGGCCTTCTTCTGCCTTTAGCAAACATATGTGACTTAAAGACAGAAGTTGTGAATAATGTGCAAAACTGGTTTTATGAGGACTGCAGTTAATGGTGACAATGGTTAATTATATTTTATTGTATATTTGAAGATTGCTATGACAAAATTCTTTAAAAGTTCTTTCACAAGGAAACATGAAACTATGGGAAAGATGTTAACCTGAATGGGGTGGTGATTATTTCACAATACATATATCACTCTGTTGTACACCCAAAGGAATAGAATGTTACCTGTCAATTATATCTCAATTTTTATAAATAAATGAGGAAAACAGGAATTTGCAAAATGTAAATCAGTGTGACCGAAAATAACTGCTTTTACACATGTAATTGTATGAGAACCACGAAAAGTGGAAGTCAAAGGAAAAAGTTCTGGGTGTGAAAATCAGGGAAGACATCACAGAGGAGGAATTACATTGACTGAAGAACAGAAGTTGTCCAGGTTTAGAGGGTACGTCCTGGTAGGAGAGCATGCACAACCACACGTCTCAATCTGGACACTGCAAATAATCTTCTTTGCTTTAAAAAAATCATAATCATTCGAGAGACAAGAAAGCCACTTCTCCCCCCTAGACTCAACAGACTCTTCTCCTTTTACACAGCTCATCTGTACAATATCCACTCCTCAAGACTCAGCCCCAGACCCAAAAATCTGTGTGTCCACTTCTGGTCAGTCCACACACCCCACCACTGTCTGCTTCACGTGGCTGGCATGTTAGTGAAGACTGTAGTCTCCAATCCCACCTATGAGTTCCTTGTCATATTTATTTTTGTTTGCTTTGTGTGCTTTTTCTCTCTAATGCACTGAAACCTCAGGCTTTTAATAGTTTGTTTAGAAAGATATGAAAATACTCAGTAAATAATTTATTCTACAAATGACATCTTTTAACAAATAAAGATGTATTACAAGTGTAAATTAAGCTTCAAATCACACAGATATTGCAAAGAAATACATAGGTGGTAGGGCTCATCTTGGATTCTTCCCATGAAATTAAAAATACCCTTGTTTCTCCTTAAAGTGAAAATTAGGGCAGTTCCTCCAATTTTCTTCATTGTGTCTTCACCAGGTCACTTTCCCAACAGTAACCTTTCTTAGAAAAGCGATGGAGAGCTCATTGTCAAGATAGAGCAATATTGTCCAGCAACATACTAATATCTCCACCCTCAACGGCTACCTGCAATGCAAGCTCCCTAATGTACCTCAACGCTGAGAGAAAACTCAATAGCAGGGTTTTGTTTCTCATTTTTATTTAAATTCAATTTAATTGACATATGCTGTATTATTAGTTTCATAGGTAGAATTTAGTGATTCATCAGTTACATATAACACCTAGTGCTCATTCCATCAAGTGTATTCCTTAACACCCTTCACCCATTTACCCCATCCCCCCAACCCACCACCCTCCAGCAACCCTCAGTTTGTTTCTCACAGTTAAATGTCTTATGCTTTGCCTCCCTCTTTGATTTCCTCTTATTTTATTTTTCATGACATTCCATTATGTTCATCTGATTTGTTTTTAAAATCCACATAGAAATGAAATGATATGGTATTTGTCATTCTCTGACTGACTAATTTCACTTAGCATAATACTTTCTGGTTCCATCAACATGGTTGCAAATGGCAAGATGTCATTCTTTTTGATGGCTGAGTAATATTCCCTCATGTATAAACAAATGACCAACAAACACATGAAAAAATGGTCCCCATCACTTAGCATCAGGGAAATAGAAATCAAAACCACAATGGAAGATCACCTCACACTGGTCAGGATGGCTAAAATGAACAACACAGGAAAAGACAATGTTGGCTAGGATGTGGATAAAGGCTAATTCTCTTACACCATGGATGGGAATGCAAACTGGTATAAGCACTCGGGAAAACAGAATGGAGGTTACTCAAGAAGTTAAAAATAGAAGTCCCCTATGACCCAGGAATTGCCAAAACTAGGTATTTATCCAAAGGTACAAACATGATTTGAAGAGGCACATGCACCCCAATATTTATAGCAGTAATGTCCACAACATCCAAACTATGGAAAGAACCCAGGTGCCCATGGACAGATGAATGGAGAAAGAAGATGTGGTATATACATTTAATAGCAATTTTAAGTTCATTTTGCCTACTTAACAGGTACACTCCACCTGAGTACAGCAGATTAAAATCCAGTTGGATGCTCCAAAAATCTCTCCTCTTTCAACCCTTTCTCCTGTTTCTAGGGTGGGAGAAATTGATGTTGGCTTTTTTAGCATTTGGTGAAGGGCTAAATGCACTCATAATTTGTATTAGAATACTCAAGAGAAAACTCCACCAACCACCACCTGTTTGCCACCGTACCCTATTTTAAGTTAAGCATGGGGGAGAAAACACCAGCAGATGCCCCCCACCACTTATTTCAGCTAAGGACTGAAACTGGACCTTGCCCCCAGCACTTTCTACAATAGCTACAACCAGAAGACAATGGCAAAGCTAGTGGAGACCAAACAGCCCTGAAGTGTGAGTCCTGGGCATGGAAGTGGTCCTGTCTCCTGCACTGACCAGGCTGACCACATCTGGCTATGGCAGGCAGTAGTCTCAGCAGTAATAACGACCAGAGCTTTCTTTTATTCAGTTTCCACCAAAGTCATAAACTGAAAAAGAATTTGTTCAAGTGGATAAAGGCATAGATAAGAGAAACCACATTCCATTAACTTTAATCAATGACGAAGGGCTGTAAAAGTCAGAAGACCAACCCAAGAGAGTTTCCCCACCCCTAGAAAACACTTACACCAATCAGACAGGTAATTGTGGTGCTAGCCCAGGTGTACCCAGGTCCACTGTCCTCCTTCCCTGCCCATCTTCCCAGAGGACAGGAAGGGAGGCTCCAGCTAGTGCAACACTGGTGTAGTTCCTGGTGTGGGGACAGCTGGTTAACCTCCCTCAGATACTGAGGAGAGCCTCCCACCACTTTAGCGCTTCATCTGTTCAGGTCTGGGCACTGGTCAGAACTTGGGGATCTGGAACAAGGAGGAAGAGGGGTTGGGGTTGTCCCCATGGGGAGAAGTGGGCAGATGGGGGAACCCTGACCCAACAGGAAACAAAAGCCAAATGCCCACCATCAGTGTTGGTGCTCTGAGGGTCATTCCGGAGTCCCAGGAGCCCACCTCTCAACCCTACTCCGTGCCTGGGCTGACTGACCTACTCCCTGCCCAGGTGGTACCCTAAGTTGGAGCTGAAATGTGTGGGGTGCACCCTACCTGAGGGGGCTAAAAGCAAGGCAGAGCTGGTGCCATGGAGCCAGGCACATCTGCGGAAAAGGGAGAGAAGGATTAGGCACTGATTCCATCCCCAGCTTCTCCAGTGCCTGGAGGCCCCCTAGGATGATCCACAAGCCACTTGGTTGGCAGGGCCCAGCCATCCCTGCCGCAACCTCACAAATTGCCTGAAAAAAATAGTCCTCAAAACCTCAAAATAAAATTCAATTCATGTTCTTTTCCCAATGAAAAGAGTCCTTACCAAGGAGATTTCCCCTGCAAAGACACACCCATATTATCTTCTGTGTCATTTATATTGCAGATATCCAGGTTATCATTTATGGAACACACTGCATGTGTGTTTATGGATCTCACTGCAAGTGTGTTCTCCAGGATGCAGGGAGAGCACCTGTGACATTGGCACAGAAGGTGGCTTTTCGGGCCAAAGCTTGAGTTGTTCACGCACACAGACTAACAGTGATGAGGAAGAATGCACTGCCTGGACACACAGCAGATCAAGGTCACAAGGCCGCCAGGCATGATTGGGATGCTGCATTCCCAGAATCTGTCCTGAAGACACACAGATGGTCTCCACTAAATATGCCTGATGTGTCAAGTTCCTTAAATTCCCTGTGTGGTTGAACAACAAATGGCATCATCACCTGGCCAGAGATTCCCCTTCTCCTGAGGTGTGACAGCAGGGAAGTAGGGAGGCTGTGTGGCCTGGTCTCGCCAGGGAGGTTCAGGCAAGTTGTGGGACATTAGCTCAAGCTGACCTCCAGGTGTGCAGGTGTCAGAGGGCTCACATGACAGCTCACTTCCTCCTGCAGGGGAGTCTCCACATCTGTCTCTATGCTGCACCTGGAGGATCGGGGGCAGATGGAGGACGTCCACAAGGCCACCTGCAGGTAAGTGCAGGACCCTGGTGTGAGTGGACCTCATTCCTGCTGTGGCCTGCCAATGCACAAGGTGGGTGCCAGCATTTCTCAGCACTGGGCTTGCATCAGCAGTGCTCGCAAGCCCTTTCTCAGCCTCCAAAGTGTATCAGTCCCTGGGACTGGATGGAGCACAGGCATCACCACTTCCATCCAGCAGCTTCCCCAGATCTCCACTCTGATCCAGGGCCAACACATTCTCCAGCAGGGGCCATAAGCTCACCCACCTACAGCCGCAGTGTTTCCACTCCACTCTGCCATCACACCAGAAATTTTAGGTAAACTTTTAGTTTCCCCAAATCTTTTGGGGAACCTGAAATCCTCATTTCTGGTGAAGTTAAAAGGTGAGTTCAGTCAAATTCACTGCATGTCTAGATGATTTCCAGATACGATAAAATAATTTACTGAACATAGGTTTTTGTACTTTGGGCTTCCTCATTACAAAGAATCTCAAGAGGAATTTGGGTCTCTTAGTGAACGTGTTTTGTGTTTTATTGATAGACTATACTCTGAAGAAGCACATGTTTCCAGGAATTATGAAATGTATTCATCAATTTGCCAAACTAAAGAGTGCTGGTACAGCACACGGTTCACAACTGCTTACTACTTCGTTTTGACTAGAAGTTAAGGGTTGAAAATTCTTTTTGTTTTTCAAAATTCAGAAACTTAGTATTCGTACTTCTGTGGTAACGTATTTCTTTGCATAACCTCAATAAGAACATGTTCTCCTTGTGACAGAAAACAATTGGAAATGTTTGTCATGTTGCCTGGGATTTGACAGGACTGGCATATTTAAAATAAATGTGAATAGACTCATATCTGACCAGTCGGCTTGACGGTATAGGGTTGACTTTATGGAGCCACTCGAGCCCCTTAGAAAGAGCAGCCTGAAGCCTTGTTTGCAAGCTTCCCACACCCTTATCAGGTGAGGGAAGAAGCCCACTTCTAGAAGGGCAAGTGCAAGAACTTCAGGATATTTTTGAGACATCTAGATGAAGACTTAACCCAAGTCTTTGGGGCTTGCAGGAAAAGTCTGCTGGCAAGTATTTGGGTGGGCCACTGGCCTGGAGAAGCTGTTCAAATTCTTTCTTTTTTTTCATTTTTTAAAATTTTTTATGGTTATGTTAATCACAATA